CTGTGTTGCCGCCGGCTAAGACCATAGGTATATAAGGCATGAGCGTGGCAAGAAGTGTGCAATTTTATGCGCTCGCGCGAACATTAATTGATTATAATTTCATCAGATCCGGTTGTATAGCGGCGGCGGCGGTGGCGTTGTCGGCGGCAAGGCGTAAGTGAGCGCGCACGTAGTCGCGGTGCGGTAAGCGGCGCGCGTCAGATTTGATGGCAGTTGATGGATGCAATAATTTGGCGGCGCACAGATGACGCGGCGCGTCGGCTGTTGCGTTGCTGATTTTATGGGGTGAAGGGGCGCAATGACTCAGTGTGTAATTCACTTACTGGCGAGTGAACGCACACAAGCGCGCGCATATGTAAATAAAGCGCTTAAGCGCGCGCTAGTGTGCGTCACTCACCGGCTGTTGTTGTGTGTTCGTTGTTGCTTGTTATTACTATGCAATTTTTTTCCTTACTCGTTGAGATCATTAGCAGGTGTTTGCCAGTGTCGTTAATAAATTTTTTGACCAACACTGTCGGCGGTAATACCAGCCACTTCTTGAGTGTTTGCACTTTTGCTGTGCCACAAATGACGCGCAACAGCAGGCAGCAATCGCTTCTGGTCCGCCCACTTTTTATTGATGCTTTCGGCAATTTGGTATTTTCGTTACCTTGAACGCTTACTTTCCGCCAGGCACACATGTTCCTTCACCGATTTTTGTTGCTTTTTAAGTGTCGATTATTTTACTTAAACATTTTTTTGTTTTGTCGCTAATCAATTTTGCACTGATTGCACGCAATTTGTCAATGGGTCAGCAAATTAATCACTTGGACGTTGGTTGCACAGACGTCAGCGCAAATTTACGCAATTTGAAAATAATTTGTGCGCAATTTTCTGTTAATTATGCAAATTTGCTTCGCAATTACGCGTGTTTGGGTGGGTCTGAAATATTGTGTCATTATACTCACTAATGGGTATTTCAAATTACCCCAAAAGAAATTTTATAACATGAGCCAAAAAAAAGAAAAAGTCATAATTTTGAGCTTTAAATACGGGTAAATATTCTTTAGTGAAAGGTACCGTAAAGATTTTAAATATATTTTGTTACTTCATTGGGAAAAAATTTGTATTTGAATCAGATTCCTAGAGACCCGTAAATTTATGATTAACGGCTGCGTCCACATAAAGGTTGCTTAATATCAGATGAAAGTATAAACAAAGTTAGAAATGCTAGTCACATGAGAGCAAAGAGAAAACAGAACTAGTAGCTGTCAAAAACTTGGTGAATGCCCACTTTTGAAAAAGTAGTTGAACTGTTGACGGGTGGTCGCTCAAGCAAATTTATATCAAATGGCGAATAAAAGGCCTTCTATAAGGAGATGTTGCTTGGATCCCACTAATTTCATAACTAAAAGTCTATACAAATGCATTAATTCATCCTGAAGCATGTTTCAATGGTCGAGCAATAATAATTGTATTTCGGACTAGAAGGAAGGGTCAAGGGTGAAGGTTCTGTGCACCACTCTCCACATCCAACTCTTGAACATATTGCTCCACATATTCGAATAAATATTAGCCTACTTTGACTTGTATGTCTACTTATCAGAAGTAACCTGTGTCACATAAGGGTCACATATAATAAAAAATTTCATATTTGGTTCACATTTACGTTACCAGAAGAATATTTTCGATAAAGCTCTTCAGCACTTGCAAATTATAATAAATAGTAGGAATTTAGCTTTCTTCGCAACATATATATTTATAACAACACATATATTTCTGTGAATTATGTAATATTTTAATTGACGTAACCACGGAGAAAATTATGAAAGACTGTAAAGTCGCATATCTATGGTCACCAATTGATGACCAGTCGTTTTGAGATGACCCAGCTGTTATGTTTATTTATGTATATTTATGGTGTTTACTTAGCTTGTATGACAGCAGCGTCAAAATATTCAAAGCCGAGTTAAAGTGAAAGTAAGTTTGAAAGTATCCTAATCCCAAACTTAAAAATATGAATAACAAAGAAGTGATGAAGTCGCCAATTTATGAGTTTTAAAACCAATTAATAAATCAGCGAATGAATATATTCAACAAAATGTGGTGTAATGTATATTTTTTGGTCAAAATATTGTTACATAATTTTAAGAAAGAAAAACAGTATACAGAGAAATTAGTGATTGCACATTTGATTCCCGTCGGTAAAATCTAAAATAATTTTACGTACGCCGGCAATGGAGTATTCTTCCGACATCAAGTTTGTTGCTTAAGTCTTCTCAAAAAATTTTTTCTATTTTTCAGGGTATAAGGACAGGGTGTATTAAATTTGCTACAAAGTTTATAGCACATTAAAGAAACGTCGAAAATGCTGTAAAATATACAGTAGGGAGCACAAATGAGTACATGTTTGTGATTCGTATATATATTCCTGCATAATAATAGAAGTAGCAAAGAAAATTTAAAAAGTTTTTTTTCCCTTTAGTTGATGTTCAATTCTAAACAAAATGATTAATAGTACAAAAAATATAATATGCAATTCTAAGAAAAAAACAAATAAAACTAAAACAACTCGCATGTACTCAATTATGCACCCGTTCAGCTTTCAACAAAAAATATCAAAGTTTGTCGTAGCTTTGCATTATTTACGACTTAAATAAAACATTTAACTAAAATTGTGCTTTATTGTGCCTGGTAAGAACTTTTTAATAAATAAAAAAAATATTGTTTGTAACAGTTATTACATTAATTTCATAGCTCTTCAAAATAATGAAGGAAGCTATCACCACGCATGGAGGAGAGTATAATAGCCATGACAAGAGCAGGCTCTTTCTCACGAATGTTATCTAAAGAGCTTAAAATAAGCCAAACAATGAGCATACGCGTTCAGAAAAGACGAGTTATTGTCTCCAAAGCACAAGTTAGGGGCCACCACAAAAATTTTCTCGGATGCAGACGCACGTCTCATGATAAAAAATATAAATACGAAGAAGCACTTGACACCAAAGAACGCATTCATAGCAATAAATAAGCTTGTTGGTAAATGGAAGGCCAGAAGAGCGCTCAGCGACATTGACTATATCGCAGCGGTAAAAACCAAAAACCTGCATTGTCAGTACAGAATGTTAAGCCACGGTTGAAATTCGCCAGAAAGCATCGAAATTGAACAGCTGATCACCTGAAAGCTTTTAATTTGGTCAGTCGAATCAAAATTTAATAATTTTTAGTCAGATGGCAAACAATATTGGTGGCATCGCCCTCGGGAGACCATCCAAAGGGACCATGTTAAACAAACAGTAATGTATGGTGTTGGGGCCGTCATGGTATGGGGTTGCTTCACTTGGTAGCATGTTGTACCTCTGTAAAAAAATCTATGGATGATGATCTATAATGAAGAAAGAAGACTATCTGCATACTTTGCAGACTCATATATCCGATTTTGTGGAGAGAAGTGCTTATCTTAAAAAAGAAGTCATATTTTAACATAAAGGCGATCCAGAATAAACGTCCAAAATCGTGAAGTAATGGCCTACGGAACAAATTTTCTTACTGATGCAGGGGCCAGCTTAAAGTCCTGATCTCACTCCGATTGATAATTTGTGGTCAATCCTGACCGGTTCCTGGTTCCTCAGTTTTTGAGCTATCCTTCTGAAATTCTGTACACGTTCTTTTCTCTTCAAAAGGCTGCATAGTTGTTGATATTTCCGATGTCGGACTACGATAGCATATAGCTGCCATACAAACCAATCAATCAAAATCAAACTTTTGCGTGGAAAAATTTTTCATTTGACAAAATATCTTCACAAAATTTGGAATAGATTATTAACGAAAGCAACGGCAAAATCTTCGTGGATATTTTTCATATCAGACTACCACAGCATATAGCTCTCATACAAAATGAACGATAAAAGTCAAACACTTGTATGAATAACCTTTTTATTTAAAAAATTATCTTCAGCAAATTTAGCATAGATTATTGGCCAAGGCAACCCCATATTATCCGAACATATTGTTCAGATCGTACTACTATAACATAAATCTGCCATACAAACTGACAGATCAAATCGTCAAGATCTTTTTATACCGTTTTATGCTATAAGCTTATATTAAAAATTTTAGGTACAAATATGGCTGTTAAGAAAGATCAGATTGATCTATATTACAATAATTGAATGGCTAAAATACGAGTCACCCAACTATGTGACTATATTGCGAAATAACTGGTATATACTAATATATTACAAAAGAGCGAAAATATTAAAAATTATAAAAATTTTCATAATTACTTATTATCACTACCGTAAGAAATTCAAAGAAAAACAAGCCAAGTTTATCACCTAAAGCCGCATATTAGCTTAAATTGTAATGGAATTGTGTCAGCGTGGCTTAACCGTGTTTTTCTTTCATTTAATACAAATTTTTATAACTGCTGTTTAGCTGTTTTCCGCTAATTGTTACATTTGCTGTTGTAAATATATTTCTCATTTCTTTTCTAACTCATAAACATTTATAGTCTTACCTTACCTACCTATACATACATATTTGAAAAAAACTCGCCGACTTTGAAGTTTTACTTTGTGTGTTCATAAGTTGATTAGTGTTTACTGTTAACACTTGTTGTGTGTTTTTTGCAGTACTTGCCACTTGTTGCCGCCATATTAGCAGTTCTTGCTGAACTTCAGCACGCCTATTTCATTTTATGGCCCGCAATTAGTAGCGCGTTTTGCATTTTTAACCATTTTACTCAAGTTTCTGCTTTTGCAATGCATTTTTTTCATCGTTTAGTGCAGTCATCGTTCGGATTTTAATTAATTTTCTACCGTTTAATTAGTCTCAACAGTCGTTTATTCAATTAGCTGTATAAAGTATATGATAATTAAATTAATAATGAAGTCGTTAGTTGTATTTGTTATTTCTTTTCATTATTTTTTTATTATTATTGTTTAATTTATAGCTAGTAAATTGAACTATATTAGATTTTCTTGTATCAAAAATGTCATTTTATTCTCTTTTATTTACAGAGAGGAATTAGCTATGAAAATTGGCCTAACTGAGGCGCGCATACAGGTGAGTCTTATCCGCTTTACTATTTTTTGCAAAACATGCATATATTTTTGGACTGCTTCGCCTTACTGACATTTTATTTTTCATACATGATTATTGCCATATTTATATTATTATATTATATATCACACATCGCTATTTTCCATGCAATTTGCAAACTCTGAAATATTTTTTTACTATAATTATTTCCTGCATAAATAATCGTTATTTAGTAACACCACTCAAAGATTCTGTTGCCTGATTTTGAAGGACAAAATTCTGAAACAAAATACCCGAATTACACATTTTCAAAATGAAGACGTGTTCTTATGAGCTTGGTGATTTTCGTTTGCTAAGAGCTCACACTTCGTTGCTTGTGCGTGAATTTTTGGTTAAAAATAATACTATAATGATGCTCTAGACTCCATATACGCCAGACATGGCTCCATGCGACTTTTTTCTGTTTCCAAAATATTTACCTTAAAGGGGCGTCGTTTTACAAGCATAAATGACATTAGAAGAAAATCTCGTTTAAAGAGTGTTTCAACGATTGGAAGAAGCGCTGGCATGAATGCATAATATCGAATAGAGACTATTTGGTATTTGAAGAAAACAATTTTTTTTCAAAAAATTAAAATTCCCGTTATTTTTTACACACAGTTCGAATATATGAACTATTATAATTTATTCTTATAAGAGTTTTTTTCGAATGTCTTTTTGCTGCTTAGTATAAATTTGGCATGATGCCTGCTTACTATTCAGTATGGAAAATATGAGCTTTCAAGTAGGGTTTTGTTTACTCATTATACTAAAGGAAATGGTATCACCAGAGCAGCATTGTTTTATAGTTTTTGTTCTTCTTTTTCATTTTTGTGGAAACGAATGCCAAGATATTTCATGTAATTAAAAGAACTTCTAATTAGTTTTATTAATTTATATTTATTTCTTTATTATAATTATTAAAGAAATTTTATTTATATTTGTATATCTCTATCTGGTAATTTCGAAAGTATGTGCTATTTTCACGCAAAGCTGATAGCTTTTTACTGCTCTGCAAAATATTGATGAAGGCTTTTAAAATGGTTCTATCAAAATTTCAATTGAATATGAATCTCGTTTGTTCTCTAAACAGCCTCTAATATAAAATAATTAAACTTCTGAAATTTTGTTTTCGAATGAAAAGTATCCAACCGTGCTTAAAAATTACGGATTTACCTGAATAAAAGTTTCCATAAACAGATCTTATATAGATAGATAACTTTTTAATAGAAAATTGTACGATTTTGTTCAAATTTTTGGTTAAGCAGTACACAATTGCACTTTTTTTTGATTAACATTCATATGTGTATATACATTAATGTACCAACTATACCCACAGTTTTTAACAAAACTACCTTCATTGTTCAACATAATTACTACCAAGTGAGAATTACCGCTTATAACGAACTTTCAAATTTTTAATACCATTTTTATAGTAGAACTAGCGAACCCTGTAGACGTCTTAGGATAGTTAGATAAGGAAAATGTTATGAAGAATTATGTAAAATAAAACAGTTACAAATTTTAAAATAAACAGTTTTAAGTAATATCCGTAAACAGAAAGTAATGGATATCCCAAAAAGTAACAAATGTGTTCAGCCAAACTATCCTTTATGTATCTTCATTCGGATATGTGTCGTATAGAGTAGCATAGCAGTATGAATGTTTAGACACTAAACGCCTTATACATGTCTATAGTCTTCATAGCTAAACTATACTTGTGCTGTCTTAGAATCTGATACCTGCGTCATCTACCAGGTGCAACTGAAACTCAATACTTACTCTTATACTTTTGAATACCTGACACGACTGCAGCGCAGTCTGTCGGAATTCTACAATATTTAAAACATTCTAGCATCAAAAACAATTTATAAATAAATAAATCCATTGTTAAAGCATTATCTAGTTAATCGAATTGTGAATCTAAACCATTCTCAAACCCCTTGAATATACACAAGAAATTTCATCAGTAACGGTCCAGCCGTTTAGAGCGAGTTCAATTGCAAACACACGTACAGACGATTTATATTATATATAATATATAAAGATGTGTGTTTTGTTATAAATTACTCGTAGGTCTATGTTTCGACGCTTATCACTTCATTGTGATTAAATTTCTTTCCGGATGGCATTCTTTTCATGCGAAAGCAATAGAGAAATTTTTTTAAAATGCTGATTATTATAATATAAAGTCGATTAGAAGAAAATCGATTGTTTTTGCATTAAATTGAATGTTTCAGCATAGTTTTAGCATAGTTAGAATGATTTGATTCAAGTCAAATATGTACTTTCATAGAAAGCCTTGTCTCTCTTAACAAAAAACGGGGCAGTCAATTTTCACAATTATCTCTTGAGATAAATTCTTCACCAGCAATATCACTTTACACTAAACAGGTAGTAACCACTCGGTGCCAAGTACGTAGTATATGGTGGATGTGGCGAGTTTGGCCGTAGAGGAAAAACTAAATAGTTTAATACCCTACCAATCTCACCATACTCATAACAAAACTGTTAATCCTGCCTTGACCATCATTTTCGCAGCTCCTTGCGATTCGACAGCGATAACTTTCGCTTGACGTTGTCGTAAGTGACTCATTGTACATCACCATTAATCATCCTCCTCAATAATGGATAGATTTTGTTGCGATTCGCAAATATAAATTCGATTCGGAAGGATTTTTTTGTGAGCTTTTTTGCTTTTTGTATATAGCCTTGTGTAAATAATTCCAAACGTTTTTTGTGCCATGTCTAGTTTCCTGTCAATCGAAATAGTGCTTACACGATCGTCGGATTCGATTCAGTATTTCATTTTTTTTATCGAAATCTTACACAGATAGTTCGCATATATAAAAATTAATTAACAATATTTTCAATGTTGATTATTTTTTTCTACTACGTATATGATTTGTTTCCTTTCACACCATTAGAGAGTCATTCAAAATAATTTTGTGGGTATTTTGATGCTTTCGTTTGTAACTTTTCAATGTCCAGTGGGTTTATAGTCTTTAATGAAAAATATTAATACGATAAAATTTGTATTAATTAATTTTTCTATTAAATCCGGAAATATGCGAAAAAATGTTACATTTTGTATAGGTTAGTAGGCAAGGGAATTAAGAATTAATGTGTTTTACACATGCCAATTCTTGCTGATTTTTCAATCATATTGCGGCACGAGTAGACCTTTCTCGCTTAATGAAGAAGAAGCAGTAAGTAAGTCATTAAGTACCTGCTTAGCAATAATTATTATACAAATTGCCATAAGTATAATTAGCTGACTAACAAGATTTTTGTTCAGAAATTAATAAATCAACACATTCGCGATACATACATACACCCATACGAACATTTACATACGTCAGCATAGCTTACAAGCAATTTATATGCAAAAATGTAATGGATTAAAAGATTGTAATAAGCAAATGTGAAAATCATTACTTTTATCACACTTAGAAGCAATGCAAGCAGGCACACACACACTGCACATACACACATGCATATGCACACATACATATGTATATATTTTGTGACTTAGTGCAACAAAACGTCGCGTCAATGCCACAACTGGCAACATGAATGGCAATCAAAGTGTTAAAACAACAACAACAACATGCAGTAGCAAAAAGCAATTTAAATAGAAAAATGCAAATTAAAATGTTCATCTGGTTTCAATTACAGTAATTGACTGCTTGATAACAACGTGGAGGGCAGCGCCGCCGACAGCGCAGCAGCTGTAAACTTGGTGGCCGCCTGTTGTTAGTTGCATTTCAATGCAGTCAATGCAAGTTGCTAATTGCAAATTGCTAAATAATAGAGCATGTCAAATTTAATTAACTATGCTTTTTGCTGTTGTTGTTTTCGTACGTTTTTTTATTTTAATTTTTTTCTGTAATTTTTTGTTTGCCCGCAGCATGGCTACAATTAATTTACCGCTGTTTTGTAGCGTTAAATGAAAATAATTGTGCAGTAAAAAGTATTTGCAATATTATTTTTTATTGTTGCTAAATAAAGCATAAATACATGCATGCCATATATAATAGATTAAAGCTTGCAACAAAAAATTCTAATTAATTTTGCTGCTTTAAATTGTGGCTTGCGTCGTTAGCGACGATTTAGTTTACTCGCAGCAGTAGATTAGTTTTCCAATTAAACACTTTTGCAGCTTTTCTGCTTAAACTTAATCTCCTTCTGCGCCAAGCTAAACCCTTTTCGCGCACAAAAGACTTAAGACACAAACTTGATATTGAAAACTTGCGCTGCTTTGCGCGGTTTTCGTAATCCTATTATTCACAATGCAATTTAATGCCAGTCATAATTGCCACCATTAGTGGCAACTCAATCAATCTGCACATGCAATGCGGCAGCAACAACTCAATGGTAATGCAAACATTGGCACCAACATGCACATACATACACACACTTATGCTTGTGTGGCTTTTTTATGTGTTCATGTATGTTTGCATGCAGTCTCCTTCAACTTGATATTCACATATTCGTGCTGGAACGTAATTCGCTGCGCTAATAAACTCACTACCGCAATAATGACAGCTGCAATGGCAACCAAAAACAACAGCAACAACAAATAGCTACCAATAAATGTAATAAGAAGCAGACAATAGCCTTTGCAATTACAATCAACAAAATAGTTGCTTTAAAATTTGTTGTAATGAAGTTTATTAAGGACGTCTTTGTTTTCGCTTGCTACCAGAGTTGTGTATCCTTTCTGCCTTTTTCAAGCGGTCAATTTTTTTATATTTTATATATATATATATTTTTTTTTTTTTGTGCAAATGAAATACTATTTTTTTTTTAAATATTATATATTCAGAGTATTCACCATTGCTTTTTACACATTTTGACCACCTTTGTGACAATTTGTGCATACCATGGCAACCAATCAGACAACCAACTTCCGACTTCTGCGTAGAAATCGAAATGCTGCTCAGACAATGCGTGTCCCATTGATGAAAAGAAATGTTAACCAA